CCATCCATGGATCCATCTATCTTCTGAAACCACTTATCCTGTTCAGGGTCATGGGGAGGGTCCAGAGCCTATGGGCACAAGGCAGGGAACAACCCAGGATGGGGCACCAACCCACTACAGGGCACAGTCACGCACCTATAGGCAATTTCATAACTCCAATTAGCCTCCAAAGCAACACACAAGTATCAGGATCAGAAAGCAGGTCAGACAATGTCCATGGAGCAATTGGGGTTACAGCCCTTGTTCACAGGCACAGCAGTGAAATCACTCTACTGTGAATCTACAACAAATTGGTTTTGTTCATATCCTCTACTCCTTGTCACGGATTCCCCATATCTCTTGTTTGTACCCCTCCTACCAGCTAACTCCTTCATCCCTTACTCAGGTCATCCCTTAATCATTCTTCCAGCATCCCTTTGTGAAACGCACTGCCTTCCCTTCACTCACAGTATGATAAGAACCCTACGGATGACCTACTAGGTACTCCGGTGCCTGCCATGTGAAAGCAACACTAGGGGGCAGTGTGTGGCTCAGCAGGATAGGCCCCTGTGCCTCTGACTGCCATATTGCCGGTTTGAATCCCGTCCCTGGTCTCCATTGAGCCTGTTTGTTGTGTGTCAACCTGGTGTGTCAACCAGTTTATTCAGAGACCAAAATGCTCCAGGGCTGCTGGATAAATGACCAACTCTGCACACCAAGTTTTGCTCTCAACTCTGTACATATGTGTGTCTAAAAAAAAAAGCAAGATTGGATATGCAGTAAGAATCTTTCCAAAATACTTGCACAAGCAGAAAACAAAGTTATGATTCACTTTTTCATAGACCTCAATATCCTGTTTCATGGGCGGTTGACGTCGCCACCCATTTAGGGGGAAACATGATTTTTGGGGGGAGGTTGTTTTAGTCTGTTTTGACTATTGGGGGGATTATATCCCCCCCCCACCCTCTCTGTAATTTACACCCACGCCTCCAAGGTTTCCAAGACTAGTCGTGGGCCAACATAAAGGGACAAAAAGACATGAAGACCGGCCTCAAAGGTGCGAAAAGGGGAAACGTTCAAAGTGATGGCAGAAGACAGTGGGTAGAAGTTCCATCAGATCTGAAAAGGTCAGGAAGAATAAGCTGGCAGTGGGACCTGCCAAAGGGGAGCAGAGGGAGGGCATGACACCGCCGGAGAGTGTGACACCCCTGTGGTGTGCGGGGCTGGATGAATCCATCACAAACCCCACCTGCTACTGGTCAAACCAGGCTCCCAGTCAGGCGACAGCAGCTGGCTCTGCCAATGACTTCATAGCCGTCATAACATTATAATGCAACATGCTAGAGTCACGTGTTTGCGGTGATACTGGTGTACACAAACCTATTGCACGACCAGTCATATAAAAGTATATTATTACCTCATACAGTGGTGGAACAACTGTACACTGGGCCCTGGGGCTAAAATGGACCATGTCCCACCCCCCTTGCAAATTTACACCTAGTGCCACAATGCACATCCACAGAGAGTTGCCACCTGTCCTGTATTTTACAGTAACAAATTTTATTGTACTTCCCATGAAATCTTGTTTATTCTTCAGAACCATGACAGCGTGTGGGAGAGGGAATGATGACAGATGGGAATCGGGAAATGATGACCCTCATTACTCCATATGATCACTTGCCAAACTCAGCCAGTATTTCCTCTCTGCGTTTAAATAAGCCGAAACAGGAACGAAACACCATTATCAAACACGTGCTAATCCAACCAAACCCCTAATGTTGCGAGGCTATGATAATGTTTAACTCATGTACCAGCATGGTGTTTAAAACACAAAGGGCAAAATTATTTTTAATAACAATTTCCCTTTCCTGTCATCATGGATGGAGTGGTGACTCTGAGGCCAGGGATCTGTGTCAGCAACTGGAAGGTTGCTGGTTCAAATCCTGTGAACGCCCAGACCCCTAACCTGCAATTGCTTCGTCCTGGGTATGACGTTAATCTAAATCTAGCCCTATGAGGAGGTCCTCCAGCTTACAGGATTGGCACTTCAGCCACCGGAGAAAAACTCACGCTGGTCCATTCGGAATAGTGTGGTGCTGAGCTGTCACATGGCTGCACTCGGGTTCTCATCCCACTGTAATCACTGCATGCTGTTTACCTTACCTGTCATCGATTAAAATGATACTCGAACTCCCAAAGTAATCAATGTATGTCAACGCTTGTATCTGAGCATCTCGTCAAAATTTAATTGGTGTAAAGCAGTTCAGCGTGGGCCTGCTTGTCTGTTGATAAGCCCTTACATGGCAAAGCCCACCAATACGGAGTGAATATGTCATTTATTTCTGCGAGACTGAAGTTGGGGTCTGAGATGGTGAATAAAATGTAAGGGGATAGCCCAAGAGCCGGGAGAAAGGTCAGACGGTCGTCACGGTTACATGCTGTGACAGGTCGGCATCATGGGAAATGGCAAGCGCTGCTCCCAGGCGTAGTTCGGTCCCACGCATGGCCCCATGCAAAAGTATTTGCCCCCGCACCGTCACTGTCTGGGTATGAGAAATTAATAAGGCGTCTGCATTTAACTCAGAGGGTTTATTTAAAAATACTACTAATTATCTTCAAAGGCAACTTTCGTTTTTCTTTGCAATAATCCTGAGAAATTTAAAATGAAAAACTGCATAAATATACCAATGGCTAAAGTGTCTTCAGGAGACAGCTGAGTGTCTGCATTTTGCAGACACTCAGTGCCTGATAAGTTTGTGTCTCTGACTTTCAGGATCATTTGTGAATGGCAAAAGAAAATGTACATACAAGGAAACACATGGTCCTTAAATGTAAATAATGAAACACTGAGAAGCCAGCATATTACTTTTGCAGTTAATTTGTTTTTTTGTTCACATTGGATGTTTTTGGATTCCATTTTTCATACCTACGGTTAAAATTGCTTTTCGGTAAATATTCCCATGTAACCAGGCAGCATAGCCAAAATTTCTCATTTAGCCATAGACTTTAATAAATGTAGCCTCTGGGTTTTGTTCATTAAACCTTTAATATGTAAAATGGGAAAAACTGGCATATCATAAGGCATATCATACATAAGGATAAAATCACATCATTCAGGTATATGTCTAATTATTATATAAGTGAAAAGATTTTCTCATAAATAACACGCATTTTTAAAGTGCAGGTTTTATGTTCGCCAATAGTAGAAAGAAATCCATCCATCCATCCATTTCAGATTTACTGCATATATGTAGTACTGGGGTTCATAGGGGGGGGGGGGGGGGTTGCAAGATTTCCAATCTATGCTTAAATGTGGGTCTGTTGTGACTGGGGTGGGGGGGTTGTGGGCTAAAAAGTTTTGGAACCCATGATCTAGTGCGGGGGTCAACCAAAGTGCATCATCATGCAGTGTTGATCCAAATGAAAGTAAACAGGTGCTGTGAGCGATGTGTTACTGGTCTGCTCTGACCCCATCTCCTCTCAGCCATCCTGAAGTTCACTGAACTCCACACCGGACAGTAAGCAGCACTGGCCGTCCAGAATGCTTCCAGTCATCTAAGGAAGTGGCCTATTTTTGGCAAATCACTGTGCCTGGCGCCCTGCAGTAATAGTTAGCTTTGATCGTTCTGAGTCTCACCGACTCTGTTCTTGCAAGTTCACCATTCATCATATGCTTTAGGCTACTGGTTCTCGACTGGTGGGTCGCGACCTAAGAGTGGGTCACGGGACCATTTTCAGTGGATCGTGGAGTGTGTGGTTAAAAATAAAGAATAGCTTGAAGACCAAGAAAAAATATGGATTAAATTTCACCAGCTGAATTAATCAATTAACTTAATTAAATAACTCAGTGAGGTATTGATAAAGCCATATGAGTTGTGCTAGTGGTTAAGTTAAAAAAATGCATGAGTGTATTGGTCGGTTGCAGCAAACGCCGCTGCTCACATTAGGAGCAGTTTTGAAAATGGCTAAACTGATACACTTTGACAGACATAAAATTATAGTTTCATACCAACATGAAGATAAATTAAATTGCAGTTTCTCTGATTTTTCAATGGTACTATGTGTTTGGTATCCAGATGCGTCACAGTTCACTTTCGTGATGGAATGTATCTCTTGTGAAAGATGAGTCACACTGACCTGACAGGACGCCAACTTGCCATCTGTCTTGCGGTTAGCCACGACACACCAGGTTCTGTGGAGAAAATCGTTCTCGGCCGCATATTCACCAGTAGCTGCCAAACAATATTTTCGGTTGTTTTTTTCGAGATCTTTATGAGGGACATCTGTCAGCTAAGAGCTTCTGTATTATAAAATTCTGAAGTTGAATGTAACAAAGTATGACTGCACACTCCATAATGTGTCATTTCTCTGTGGCTTACCAAGTCTGCACAACCACAAGTTTCCACAGTAATAACACCCTGTGCTGACCTAAATATGTTTATCCATGAAGCAGTCATAATTCTCAAAAAAAAAACAACCTGCATACATTTAAAAACAATAATGTACTCTATGAACAAATGACAAAAAATCCACCTTCCAAAACATTTAAACTTGAAAAGGCCTGAGAGTTATACTAGAAACAATATGAAAGCTGGAAGTATTTTTTAATTATATTAATTTGTCACTGGTTGCTACAGATCTTTCTCTGTAAAAAGAAAGCAATCGCTCTGTAGAATATTAGTGGTCTTCTGCAAGGTGTCTGCAGAGGACACTGTCTTCATACACTTTGCATCCAGCTGCAACCTGCATCTCCCTGCGACTGGAATCCATCAGCCCATCAAACCGGCGATCTCGTGACCCAGAAAGGCGGAGCTCCCTGCCCTCGTGCACGTGCATCACAGGGAACGACTTCATCCTTTGCCACACTCTCCGTCCCACCCTCCCTGGCATTGAACTTCAGAGGCTCACAAGAGCTACAGCTGAAGAAAGTGAAGACCTCCCTTGAATTCCCTAAGATAGGATCACAAAGCAAATGAGAATTGGAGAACCCCTTCAGCAGTGGATGCCGCCCTTGTGCACCAATGAACACCTCACTGCTGCTCCAGACAGACCCCTTCCTCAATCACACAAGGGAATCTAATGAGTCCGGAGGGCTGGGTAACCAAAGCGTCCTGGCCCCCTGTGAGCAGGTGCTCATCCAGGCAGAGGTCTTCCTGACCCTGGGCATCATAAGCCTCCTGGAAAACATCCTGGTCATCCTCGCCATCATCAAGAACAGGAACCTCCACTCGCCCATGTACTTCTTCCTCTGCAGCCTTGCCGCGGCCGACATGCTGGTGAGCGTGTCCAACTCCCTGGAGACAATCGTCATTGCCATCCTCAACAACCGCTACCTCGTCGTCAACGACCACTTCATCCAGATGATGGACAACATCTTCGACTCCATGATCTGCATCTCCCTGGTAGCGTCCATCTGCAACCTGCTGGTCATCGCCATCGACCGCTACATCACGATCTTCTACGCGTTGCGCTACCACAGCATCATGACTGTCCGGAAAGCCCTTCTGGCCATCGCCGCCATCTGGCTGACCTGCACTGTCTGTGGGATCCTCTTCATTGTCTACTCGGAGAGCAAGACGGTCATCGTCTGCCTCATCACCATGTTCTTCGCTATGCTGGTCCTCATGGCCACCCTCTACATCCACATGTTTCTGCTGGCCCGGCTGCACGTTAAGCGCATCGCTGCCCTACCCGCCGAAGGTGTGGTCCAACAGAGGACCTGCATGAAGGGAGCCATCACCATCACCATCCTCCTGGGCGTCTTCATCTGCTGCTGGGCTCCATTCTTCCTGCACCTCATCCTCATCATCACCTGCCCAAAGAACCCATACTGCATCTGCTACATGTCCTACTTCACCACGTACCTGGTGTTAATCATGTGCAACTCTGTCATCGACCCCATCATCTATGCCTTCCGCAGCCTGGAGATGCGCAAGACATTCAAGGAGATTATCTGCTGCTGTGGCACCAGCTGCAGCCAGCGCTGTAAGTACTGAGGAGGAGCAGAGCCCAGCCGGTACCTCTGACACTGCATCGGGACACTGAGAAGGTCTGTGCACCTGCTGTTCCCTTATCTGCTCCAGCAGGGAACACTCAGCTTTATTCTGTTTTGTTGTAAGAGGCATTGGATGGGGAGCTTTGAAAACCTATACAATTCAAATGCGTAAAGTAACTAGTGCACAGGCTTGTTTGTGTAGGGAATTAACGAGCTGAAGAAACAGACTAAGCTAAAATGACAGTAGTGAGTGTAATTTGTGTCTTTGTTCTGCTTTTTGTTCAGACTTGAGATACCTGTACATAGATAAAAATAAAAATACTGTAGCATTATTATTGTTGTTGTTTTGTTGTTGTTATTGTTGTTGTTGTTAATATTGTTATTGTTGTTTAGCAGTAGTAGTAGGAAACTTGCGATTGATTGTTATTGGGAGTCCTAATCAAAACACAAGCTCACAACAGTAAATTTTCCTTATGTCCTACATAAGGATTCATGTACAATTTAGGATTATGAGTGTCGCTGTATATCACAATTTTCTTATGCCAAGACATGGCATTCATAGTAAAGCTATTAGAACATCTACTGGAAATATAAGGACTGTTTATGACATCACATTGTATCAAATTGACGAAAGGGTAATTAAACTGTCCAGACATATTTTTTTTCATTGGTGATTTCTTGTAACAATGAGTGTAACAATGCATAAATATATAATTTATGATATGCTTTGAAAATCCTGTCCTGAATTCCCATAATGCACAAGGCTCAAAAGCATCTATATAATACCTGCAGATAAGTAAGTGATTCAAGAACATCTGTATGATTCCTGCAGATTTACTGGAAAAGTATGCATCTGTTCCCCAGTGAGTTTCTATTCTTCCCAGGCACTCAGATGTCACCAAGGCATCACTAAATGACAATCAGTGACCTTCGACACAGTTATCATCGTACGTTCATGCATTGTATTATTTCAACCACTTTTAATAACTGCTGATCCAGTCAAGGCCATGGTGATCCAGAGTATTTCACAAGAACTGAAAGGTGCAGAACATCCTTGATAGGATAGGGGGGGGGGGGGGGCATGTTACCCCCAATATTTAATTTGCCTTCATTCATCCCCCCCAATAAACAGACCATTGTATTTAAATGATTAAGTCCCCCCAATCTTAAACTCTTTCCTAAGCCATTGAAAACATGATGCCCTGATCAATCACATATGTCATTACACTCTCCGCAACACAAGATCATTCTAGCACACGTTCATATACACGCACTGAAATGCATTAACCTCTTTTGTGTATAAAAAGAGTTACTGCAAGGTAAAAATCAAACTGTAAACATATTTTCCTCTGATCCAGTGGTTCTCAAACTGTGGCATATGCACCACCAGTGGAGTGCCCCCAGCGGGTGGGAAGGCAGAGGTAATTGGTTACTGTGATTCACAGGGCTATGCAGAGACCTTTGGAGGGGGGGGGGGGGTGGCCATGGAAAAAGCTGTTAACAGGTGGGGGAGGGGTGTCACTGAAAAGTAAATGAAAAGAGGACAATTGGTTTTACAACAAAGCAACAAAACAAACATGAAAGAGCATGAAGAGACGGGACAAAGACACCAGCCCAATAGGACAAAGGCACTGAATACCACAAGAAGAGAAGCCACGGGATTCCCCAACTGCCACCGCATAGCAGTTCTCATTAAATACGAAACTTATATACATATTATATACTTATCATATACAATATACCAGGAATAGTATGAAATAGTAGGAAATGGAACTGGGGACAAATGAGTGTCTGAATCTGTTGGTTTGTACAGACGGAAATCTGAAGTGGGAACCAGAAGGCAATAACTGAAACTTGTACTGAAGAAGATGAGCACTGACTGATAAAATGGACGATGCCTTTTTCAGGACGTGTCCTGCTATTCAGGTCTGTGAGGCTGCTTTGCTGGGCACCTGTGATTTTACCACTGACCTTCACAATTTTGGAAAATTCAGCTTTTGCCTTGAAACTCCATACCACCACATCAGATTGTCAAGATGGATTCAATGTAGGATTTATAAAACAAAGTCAGACTGGTTTTATCTACTTTGAATCTTGCCCTTTTACTGAAGCAGAAGAGACATTGCAGACTTTTCTTGCAGATCATCTCTATATTAAAATTAAGATTCAGTCTGGTGTCAATCAGACTGTCAGATACTTGTAGGAATCTACTACCAGCGTCCCTTAATAGTAGTGGTGTGAAAAGTAGGTTTGTTTGCCTACTTATGGCAGGTTATTCTATAGTTGGATAGTAGCGCATTAACACACCACCCATAAAGCAGTCCAGATACTCATTGGGGGATTATGCAATTGTGGTTTACTTTGTATAACTACGTTGAACTCTGCATCCAGCCTAAAGGGAAGCGAAGAAGAGAAAAAAAAACCAACGTGGGGTCCTGCGTGACGCCTCCAATGGCTGAAATAATGCCTGCTCAAAACACTGCACAATTAAACAAAACGCTCATTTAACAGCCTTTTCTACAAAAGAGCTTGCGCCAAAAATCGACGATCATGTTCTGGGTTTTTGAAACATTCAGGTGCAAGAAAGAACTGTCACACCAGTCTATGACATCATCAAAAATGAGACCATGATAATTTTCATCTGAATGTAGCAGACTGACAATAGCTGAGTCACCTGCAAATTTTAAAATGTGTTTATTGACATGCTGACTACGGCAATCATCAGTGTAAAGAATGTATAGAAGAGGAGACAGGATCGACACACCCCAGAGGTAACCCCATAGAAGACGACATTTCCCCTGTCAATACTCCATTCACCCTCACCCTCTGGGCTCCGTCAGTGAAAAAAAAAAATCCAGAATCCAACCCACCAGGTACCCCATTTTACCATGTGGTACTTGCCTACTCTACTTTGATCCGAAGTGGTACCTGGTCCAAAAAAGTTTGAGAACCATTGCTCCAGTCCAAAACTGAACTTTACCAAACTATCATTCTCCTGGAAGTGAGGAACAGGGACAAGTGCATGTAGAAACATCAAACACAGCAGTTCAGGTGACTTGGCTTCTGCTCATAGCAGGCAGGTATGACTGAAGAGCAATGGAGAATCAGGGGCTACCCAGTGATGGAAACACCAGGAAAGAATTAATATACAGATAAGGGCTCCAACCCACTCTGGGAATTTCCAAGACCTGCTTTAACTTGGCAATCAAAGTAATTAAAAAAAAAAAAACTATTTTGGTCACATCACCTGATAAATGTGGTGAATGACAATGAAGCACATATGTAGTTCATCACTTGCCGTCTTTGCACATTACACACATATACAGTACTTTTATCACTATCGAGTGCAATCTGCAGTTGTTGCACTGTAAGGAATATTGTGTGTATCTCTGTATTTATTTGTTTGTTTATTTGTTTGCTTGAACCCTATTGTACTGTTATGTTTGAACTGTATATTTGTCCTTCATTCCTTTTTGCACTGTCCTGTTAACTGTAGTCGTCTGTGTTCACTGTTTGCACCGAACCAATTCCAGTATGTTTCACATACTGGCAATGAAGAGTTCTTAGTGTCATATATAAATGTTATGCCACCTAAACATTGGAATTTTTAGTCGAGATGAAAAAAACGTGTGGAGAAATGAAAGTGACTACGAAAGTTCAAACAAGGAGACCTAATGAACGCCAGCGTATCCAATCACATCGATCCAGGTTTAATATAAAGAGTAAGTTTAACCCACTTCTTTGCCATTACAGCAATTCGTTTCTCCCGCCTCCTCCCCTCCACCACCTTCGGCTCCCCGTCCTGGGCCGGGGTTGGCTTTTACCATCCAGTAAAAATTAGTCAGTGGGAAGTGAATGTCGACCCAGTCCCGCTGTTAATTAAAAATGTCCGTGGCATTGACCTGTCAGTCAAAAACTTATTAGCCAATGGGGACGCGTCCCTGAAAAAACCCGCCCACGCGAGAAGTTTGTGTCAGAATTGTAAGCAAAAAGTCAGGCAGCGCAAGCGAGAAAGCTGGCAGCGTAAACAAAGGAAAACATTATCAAAAGACCAATCGTGTTTGCAAGTTATACATTTTACTTTTGAGATGACATTTCTTTTGCTTCAGTTAGTTTTTTTTCTTCTCGAAGCCTTGTTTTTGCTTGATGTCAAAAACGTTTTGCTTGATAATATTGGCACAAATCTGTTTCCATAACTAACCACCATCTGTCAGTTCACTTCCCCAATACACACTCCCTGATCCTGTTTTTAACTGTACAAAGAAGCCTTGTTTATGTCTGTTTCACTCATTCCTGAGAAACCCATCTCCACTTCTGACGTCTGTCCAAGTGAATCTCATGGATGTTTCCGAAATGTAATAATTTTCAGACGACACGCACCAGCGGTTTGTTTATTCGGCGCCATCTTCTAGGTGGCTGCCTGTGTCGCCTAATGGGTGGCTTGGTGTCACTGTACATAGTTGTTTAATCAAATTCACATTTTAACCTTCTGACGTAGAAACACACATGTGAGTAGAATGTAATATAATGCTCAATTTTCCTTTCAAAGCAATAGAAATAACAATAAGATTGTTCAAATTGAAATTTAATTCAATTCGGTTAAATAATATGTTGTCAAGCGAAAGTCACAACTGGTCCACAAATATATTTTATGTTTTAGTGATGTTTTTGTGGCTTTACATTAAGTTTTAATTGAATGATAAAATGAGAGGATTTGGTGAGGTATCTGTTAGCTCCTAAGACCACTACAGCACAGGCTCGGAACACTGGTCAGCATAGGTGCCTATAACCCAATAGTCAGTCTTAGCATGCTTCCAGGTCAATCGCAGGAGATGATTAATAGACACCCTTGGTATATCTTGGCCTATACCACTTGTTGCCAGTACGTCCCTGCTTTTGCAAGTCAACACCAATGATGATGCCTTTTTGCAGACGCACCTCTCTTTGAAGACAAGTGCGCAGGCGGCAAGGGCACCTTTAAAACACTTTTTAGAAGGTCAG